TAGAGTCTAGACTCTTGATATCAATGACAATGACAAGAAAAATACTCTTGATTCAATCGGATTTTTTCTTAAATCGAGAACCAAGCCTCTTAATTTAAGCGGATTTCCTTTCGATTTAAGCAAAAATCTGATTAAGTCAAGAGTATTTTTCCTTGTCATCGATTTCAAGAGTCTGGACTCTAGATCCAAGCTACTCTTTTTTCCAGTGTACACTCCAAATACCTAAATTGTGGTCTAAAACTGCAACATTTGATGTTTATGTCTTCTTATTTTGAATCATATGGAGTATTTATAGAAGAAAATTTCAGGAGATAACCAATGAAACTATTTTTAAAATCTCAATATTTCGATATAACGGAGTAGTATGCTTTAAAAAATACCGTGTTGTTTCCGACCTCTCCGATTGACTCAATCCACAGTGTGCCGGTGCATCGTCCAAAACGAGAGCCACACATGGGACCTCTGTTCTGCCGTGCTAAGGAAAAACGCCGTATGAGCTTTCAGGCGTTGCCAAATTTCCTTCAACAAATCACTAGTTTTCAGGAAAATTTGAGAATATTTTGTCTACGATTTTTCAGAGGATTTGGTTCGTAGTTTTATCTAAAAGGTCTGCAAATTTCAAAGAGAAAGATGCATAACTTTCTTCAAAAATACATGTTTTATACGGGGAAATTTGGCAACTCTCGAATGTTCCTACGGCGTTTTTCCTTAGCACGGCAGTGCCCCCGATGGCCAAAGTGCGAAACCGCGTACCTCCATTCCTGTGTTTCAAAATCTCCGTTACTATTTCATTTTTAGGAGAGGAGGCAAGCCTACTTCATGGCTTAAAATGCCCAGAGAATATTCACCCAATAGGGCAGCAAAATCAAAGAAGTGTTCAGGATATTACATTGACTAGTTTACTAAAGAAACATCGAAGAATGCCAGGAGGAATACTGCAACGTTGCAAACGAAGTTAGGTAGTTTCGCATTATTTAGCCGCCAATACGAGTTCATTAAAACCTATAGTTTTGTTAAGTTTCAAGGAAGGGAAGCAGAAACGAATGAAGGTACCCACAAGGTCTGGATATTCATGTTCGTCCCGCGACGTTGCGAAATAATTATAATTTCATCATCGATTTATCGTCCGCATTTCATACCGCGCTGCGGTCCAAGAAGTCCGACAGTTCGCTCCTCAGTCCGGGCAAATAAAGAAAAACTTTTTTTTTTTTTCTTGGAGGATGACAATACTTCCTCTCTACCCTAGGGGAGCGAGAAAGTAAAAATAACTCACTCGTGGCTCCCATCATCTTTACCATTACCTTTTATGACCTACACTATATACCTATTGCTATCACCTATAACGACCTACATTGTGCACCTATTATTATGTAATTTTATGATTTTCTTGTAATTGTGAATTGAGGCATTTATCGGTAAAAGGGCGTGCTCGAAAAATCACAGTTTCGAGAAAAACGCATTTAAAAGTTCAAAACGTTAAATTTTTGACACCTGTGAATATTTTTTAAAAAATTGAAAACAGGACTACGGGTATTTTTTTTTTTTTTTTATTATTATTAATACTAGCCACAAGTTAATCAGTGAGTTCGAAAACACACCAACTCGGGTTTTTTTTTCGATTTTCACTTTTTTACGGCTTAGTACCACTTTCCGAGTTGGTGTGTTTTCGAACTCACTGATTCAAGTATCTGCCACGTCAAATTGCTGAGATCATCACACAAATTCAGTTAATTTTGTAGAAGACCACGCCGCGACGCGCTATGTCTGAATGATAATAAATCTTGTGTCTTAAAAACATCATGCTTAATATTTCCCGATATCACGAAATAACAATATCTAGTAAAAAATTGAATAGTCGGAGTCAATTTGGCGACCACGAAATGGGGTTACGTTTCTTCGTCCAAAAACGACGATTTGAGGAAAAACCACTCGAGGCCGGACTTTGTCCGAGGCCTCAGCGGCGAGCGAGCAGACCGCTCACTATCGACGCCTCCCGTTCATTGGGGCTGCATTCGGCGTGAGTGGGTACGCAATGTTCACTGATTCGAGAAAAGCTATTAAAAATCACACAGACAAACGCTCCATTCAATTAAACGGAACCGGAATGTTGGTGGCGTCGCCTCGCGCATCTCTGAAAAAACACCCTTATCCGCGGGAAAACCACCGCTGGCCCGCAAAAAGTTCTCGACTGCGCGACCACAATCCGACGGCCCCTGCTGCGGCTACACCTTCCATCGCCGAGAAAAGGGGGAGAATCGGGCAAATCATTAGAACGGGCCGATGGACTCGGCTTGTAAAATTGAGTTATTCCATTCCACGTTCCCTCGTCCGAATCAAAGGAATATAAATCTGGAGAGAGTTTAAAACATGATGCCTAGTTTTCATGGCAAAGCTCATTCCCTGATTACTCCCTGATTTTTCCTGATTTTCAGGAGCTCATTCCCCGATGAGAAACCGAAGTTTTCTCCCACTTTCCCGGGATTTTCTAGGAGAAAAGATTATAATTTCCTAGAGTTTCAGATATGAATATCGATTTTAATTAATTATACAGCCATTTCTTTGGCGCAAATTCAAAGGTGTAATTTAAAAAAAAGTTACTGATGTTGATATTATCAGGTCAATGAAAGAGATTCCCGGTTTCTGGAACAGATTCCCTGATTTTCCCGGTAAATTTTCATTCCCCGATGAATCCCGGGTTTTCCCGGTTTTTAAAAGACTAAGACACCATGGTTTAAAACCACGCAACTCGATTCCAGTGTTTCAGAAAAGCATTCCCGAAAAGGGGTACTCTTTTCGGTGAACCCAGGGATTTCTTCGGCGAAAGGTCGAGTTACAAATGGGCATGTTTAGAGACTTTCTGAGGGAGAGGGTCTAGGGAAGTCTAAGGGCCCAGAGAAGGAAGGGTTCAGGGGGGCCTCCCCTGAAATATTTCGCAAAAAAACACTACTTCAAAATCCAATTTGAAGCAGTGCTGGGTCAATCAAGATTTGTGAGATCATCGAGTGGTAAAAATATATGAACTTAAGGTACCTCAACCTCTTTCGCTTCTTCTTAAAAATGTTTTAAGTTTTATTCCTTTCGGTTTTAATCTTAGTTTTTTCGGTTTTTAGACTAATTTCTGAGGTTACCAGGTTTCTAAGTGCCAGAAAACGCAAACTCCGCGAGTATAGATGATCGGAATTGTTGTTGCTCGAAAAGAAGTATATAAGTGCGGCATTTAATTTAGATTATAAAAATTTTCAACCCTGAATTTCACTATATCGACATGATAAGTATACGTTCAGTTCCAGATTCGTAATTTATGTCTGGTATCCATGTTAGGTCTTTAAAGTAATTTGGGGCAATTTCTTCCCTTTCATAATGTGCTTAAAAATGTGCGTTTCATAAGCTGACATTATTTCCAGAAAGTCAATTGGAGCAGTTTGTCAAATATTGTGTTTTCATATGGTTTATGACGATGTGTAATTACACCTTAGATAATTATTATTCTTCCTTTTTTTTTTTTTTTTTTTNTTTTTTTTTTTTTTTTTTTTTTTTTTTTTTTTTTTTTTTTTTTTTTTTTCCAACGTACCTTCTAGCCGATTCTATTCTATATTCCCCCCTATTTTACGATGATTTTTTGGACTACATTTGCCATTTGGCACTATTACTTTCGGAGGAGTTTAGAAAGAACGTAAGTATCATTAGTTTCCCTATACGTACATAAGAGTTTTTACGTATGAGCGAAGAATCATAGTTCCGAATTGCAAACGTTAGTCTATTATGGTTCCCTTGCCTTCTTCAGGTCAGAACCGAGCGCACATACTTTAACACTTTATAGGATCATCGTTGTTCTATGAAATGCTGAAGCCATTCCGCGAACCATGGCCTGATTTTGATCTATGAAGGTGATTCAACGGTTGTCATTTTTTGTGCCAGAGCGACGTGCGTTTTATCACATAAATAGCTACTTGCCGTTTTTTTGGAATTCTAGGATCGCACTTCTGTTGTCTCGGGACCAAAGAATTCATGTACCAAATTTGACCAAGAAATTCAACGAAATAAAGACAGGGTTTATTTAGACGGAAAATATAGCATTCGATACTGATATCGAAACTGCTTTCGAATGCGATATTTTTCCTCTGAAAACCCGTACCTTTAATACGTAGAATTTCTTTGTCGAAGGTTCATGAATTCTTTGGTCTCGTGAACAGAAGTGCGATCTCAAAATTCGAAAAAATGACAAGAAGCTGATATTAAGGTACGAATTGATGCGATAAATCGCACGTCGCTCTGACACAAGAAATGACAACCGTCGAATCACCTTAATTGAAAGGTAGGTACATAAGATTGAGAGGATGAATTGTATCTTCTAAAAAGTTTAGATTTCGTTTATTTCAAGTAAACCTCGTCTCAGAGTATACTACGAGTTGCCTACAGCCATTCCGCCAAGCGTGGCGTGTCTTTGACCATGGCCTGATTTTCATCTTTAAATTGAACGGTATACATACACGATCAAGAGGATACATTACATTATACTTTTGAAAAAGAGATTTCAGCTATTTCGAGAGAAACTCGTTTCAGAGTGCATTAGGTATGTGAAAAACGCACACTTTCAACGAGCTTCTTTCCCTTAATTTTTCAGTTTGAAATTCGCGGTTAACCAGAGGCTGGATATGATTTGGCAACTTTGAACAAGTTTTCCCCGAAAATCAAAACCACTCTCTGTTCAATTTCTAGTGGATATTGAAAAGTTTAATTAATTTAACTCGCTTGTTACACCGGTTCAAATTTCACCGAAATGATATCTATTTCTATATGTCGTTCTCCGCTATATTCCTGAAAAGTTGGAGAGGTGGTTGCTTTAATTTATTTATACATTTTACTACTTTTAATCTTCGGTCATATGAGTTTCATAGATAGAAATACTATGAATTTCTTCGCGATGTGCTTTCACATGTATTGGTCTCGCCCTCAATGCATTAAACATACCTTTCGCAAATAACTTTTAAAATTCCAACCTCGCAGATAGCGCAATCCAAAGCTTGCAGTCTACTGTTGCTGAGAGCAAAACCGCGACACAAACACAGTGAGTCGAATCTCCTTTTTTCCGTATAACTTATAGACGATTCTTACCGTCCTCTCGACCGACAACCGAGAGATATCGATCCGAACCGAACAAATCACTCACACCTCGAAAATTCAATTCCGAACTGACGGAGGCACGCGACCGGAAGTGCACTCGTCCGAAACACAACCGGAAGTCCGAGACCCGGGCTCCCCCGAGGGGGGCTCACACCAGTTGATCGCGGCGGCGGTGGCGCGCTCAGCGGCCGACGCGGAAACTAGAGCGAATCCGGCCTCTCCGCACGGCCCGAAAAAAGCGACTGGAGACCCTGGTCCCTTGCCGCCTCCACTCTCGGAGTACTCGCCGTAAACGGTCCGCGAAACGGGGGGTGAGGGGGGTGGCTTAGCTGCGCGCAAAATCCGGGCATCTCGCCGGGAGGGAGGAGGAGTGGGGTCGGCGAGGATATCAGGGATGGCTGCTTCGCCTGTTCCACCGTGGACCTCCCCCAGCGCTGGGGAATTTCAGCGGGTCGGAATTTCGTAACCGAACAGCTCCCTGGTAGAACGGCTCCCGCTACATTGATTTCCCCCCTGGGTGGCTACGGTCTCTAAAAAAGAAGAAATCCCGTCTAATTTTTAAAATCTGAATGTCCCACGGCTCTAAAGGCTGAGCTGAACTGTTGTAAATACATACGAAATTGTACATCCATAACGTCTCCGTATCGCGGCAAAAACAAGAGTTCTTCTGGCAATTTGGAAAAAAACATAAAACAAGATGACGGTTCCAACGCTAAGTGCCATGGTGTCTAGTTTTCTTGGCAAAGCTCATTCCCTGATTTTCAGGAGCTCATTCCAGGATGAGAAACCTAGGTTTTCTTCCACTTTCCCGGGGTTTTCTTGGGGAATGGAAACTAATTTTCCAGAGTTTCAAATAAGAATTTAGATTTTAATTAATCTTACAGCCATTTCTTTGGCGCACATCCAAAATTTTTGTTCAAAAAATGTTCCTGATGTCGTTTTTATCTGGTCAATGAAAGTTTCTACATTATTCCCGGTTTCTGGAACAAATTCCCTGATTTTCCCGGTAAATTTTCATTCCCTGGTGAATCCCGGTTTTTCCCGGTTTTTACAGAACTAGACACCATGGTTAAGACGTTGGAGAGCGTTCCCCGTAGCACCTCGTCAACACGTAAAAGTGGTTTTGCGCGAACGGAAGAGAGCGCTGCAAGACGCTGTTGAACTGACCGTGGAGCGTAACCTACTATCACACTACTATCGTGTAGAGTACCTATATTGAGAGAGTATGGCCACTGGGCCCCATGGAGAGGCTTAGGATCCAAAAATGGCGGTGCTTTGTTTTGGTTTTTGTGGATGGGAGGGGGGTCATTGCCAACTTTTGACGGTTATCACCAACCGCACTTGCTGCCAACCTTACTACATCTACGATCATTTTTCTCAAAAATTGCACACGATTAGCCTTAAAAATATGTAAAGATGTCGCAATAGTGCATTTGGGTAAATTTCTCGTTACGATACGCAAAGAAAACTACATTTTGAGTCATTTTGCATTTCATTAATTTATGGCGTCCGCCATTTTTGGGTCCTAAGGGCTCCATTCAGCCTAAGATGGCTGAGCCAATCAGAGGTAGTAACCCCAGTGGCCATACTCTCTCAATATAGGTACTCTACTATCGTGGTGAACGCTCGAAATGATGCGTATTTCACTTCAATATCGCGCGAGTATACTCAGTAGTTCGGATAGTTGTGCACTTCATTTCCATGTTCAACGATGCGAGCAAAATAGGTACATTCAGTAACGTCGAAACTTTGAGACAGGCAGAAAGTTATGATTTTCCTTCAATTTCGCATGATACCGCATACCACCTCCGGAGTTCGAATAGTTGCTCGCCTGATTTCCGGGGATAAAAAAGTGAGAAGTTCTATCAGATAAGAACGCAGTATTTCAGGTAAATTACTTAAATCAAAAAGAAATTACGCGGATTCCATCTCAAAAGGGCTGGAGATGCACAAATTTAGAAGCGAATTCTTTAAAAAATGAGAAAATACGAGATAATCACCGCAATATCCCGGCGATCACTCGATTAATGTATTGGTTTAGTAAAATCAATACGAATTACTCCTAATTCACCTCCATATCGCGGCACAAATGACAATTTGGCACAGGTTGATCACGATCACAAGAGATTACCCCATTTTCACCTTAATGGCGTAATACGGCGGAAAATACGCGACTTTTCTGTCCATGCGAGTCTAATATTCATAAACACCATTAACACGAAATTAGCGAGAGGCTAAAATTTTCCTTCAATTTCTTGTGATACTACATAACTACTCAGGAGTTCGAATAGTTGCTCGGTTCATTCCGCGTGTGAAGAAGTGAGAAACCACGGAATTTTAATCTCAGTGTCACGAAATATTTCGCGATATTTCTAGCACATCGCCAAAAGTAAAAGAAATTAAGTACGCGCTATTCATCTCAATATGGCGGGAAATAAGTGATTTTTCCGGAAATTTTTTTGAGAACTAATTATGCGATGATCACCGCAAAATCACGGCGAATACAGGAATTACTCAGTGGTTTTGAAAATCAATATAAATTACACGTTATTCGACTCAATATTGCGGCAAAATCGTGAATTTTCCAGCCGTTCGTTCAGATCGCAAATATCACAGAGCATTCACCTGAATATCGCAATAAATACGCGTCTCTCCCATCGGTGCGAGCATAACATTCATAGGGATCGGAAACATAAGATAGACGAAAGGCTGTAAGAAAGGCATTCGTGTATGATACCTTTTACTTATACTCTTCAGTTTGAATAGTGGCTCGGTTGAATCCGTGTGAAAAGAAATGAGATTCCACGCAATTTTCACCTCAATATCGCGAGAGATACGCTACATTTCTAGCGAATTACCAAATACAAAGAGATATTACGCTCTTTTCATCTCAAACTAGCGAAAGATAATTTATTTACACGGAGATTTTGAAAAAATGAGAAATCACTGCAAATATGGAGCCTATCCAGCGGTTTTGAAAATCAAAGCAAATAACGTATTATTCACCTCAGCATCGCGGCAAAAACGCTCATTTTCCGACAGTTTTCATTTAGATCACAGAGATGACACAATTATTTCCTCATCATCGTGGAAAATACGCGACTTTTCTATTGATCCATGTAAAATGTCTACGAACGTTAGTAATATATGATAGGCGAAAATCTATGATTATCCTTCAATTTTGCGTGACACCACATACCTACTCCGGAGTTACTCACTTGATTCAACGTGTGAAGAAGTGAGAAACCATGCGATTGTCATCTCAAAATCGCAAGAAATACGCGTTATTTCTAATGCTTAACTTACAAAAAAAAAAAAA